AATTATTACAGTGCTTTGGAAGTGAAATGATACAGCTAGAAACTTTTCTCCTAAAGTAAAGTTTAATGTTGAATGTTAATGGATGACTTAAAAATATCAGGACTCAGAACCACATCAGTATGATTATTATTATAACTATATAAAAACATATTCATATTGAGGAAATTCTGCAAAGGGAAGGAACGGAAATGGCTGGTGTGGCTCTTTTAAGTCAGTGGTTTCCTAATCCTGGCTATTGTATCAGAATCATTGGGGTAGCTTTAAAAAGAAAAATACCCAGATTCTCTTTCTTTTGATCAGTTTTTTTTTAGATCAGTAAATTGGTGGGCCCCCCCAATTTTTTTTAATAGACTTTATTTTTAGGGCAGTTTTTGATTCACAGCAAAATTGAGAAGGTACAGAGATTTCCTATATGCCCCCCGACACATGTACAGCCTCCCCTACTATAAGCATCCCATACCAGAGTGGCACATTTGTTAAAATAATGAACCTACACTGACATATCATTATCACCCAAAGTCCATAGTTTACATTAGAGGGTCATTTTTTTTTTTTCTTTTTTTGCGTAGTACGCGGGGCTCTCACTGTTGTGGCCTCTCCTGTTGTGGAGCACAGGCTCCGGACGTGCAGGCTCAGCAGCCACGGCTCACGGGCCCAGCCGCTCCTCGGCATGTGGGATCTTCCCAGACCGGGGCACGAACCCGTGTCCCCTGCATCGGCAGACGGACTCTCAACCACTGCGCCACCAGGGAAGCCCTAGAGGGTCATTCTTGGTGGTGTTTATTCTATGCATTTTGACAAATGTGTAATGAAATACCATTATAGTACCATACAGAATATTTTCACTGCCGTAAAAATCCTGTGCTCTGCCTGTTCATTTCTGTTCCACCCTAATCCCTAGCAACCACTGATCTTTTTTACAGTTTCTTTAGTTTTTCCTTTTCAAGAATGTCATATGGTTGGAGTCGTATGGTACGTAGCCTTTTCAGATTGTCTTCTTTCACTTCGTAATATGTACTTAAGGTTCCTGTGTGTCTTTTCATGGCTTGATAGCTTATTTCTTTCTAGTGCTGAATTTCTAGTGCTCCATTGTCTGGATGTACCACAGTTTATTTATTCACCTACTGAAGGACATCTTGGTTGCTTCTAAGTTTTGGAAGTTATGAATAAAGCTGCTGTAAACATCAGTGTGGGGGGTTTTATGTGGACATAAATTGTCAACTCCTCTGGTATTTATTCCAGGGTGCATAATTTTCTGTATCATATAGTAAGAGTATGTCTGGTTTTGTAAGAAGCTGCCAAACTGTCTTCCAAAGTGACTGTTACCATTTTGCATTCCTACCAACACTGATTGAGAGTGCCTCTCGCTCTGCATCCTCACCAGATTCGGTGATGTCGTTGTTTTGGGTTTTGGCCATTCTAATAGATGTGTAGTGGTATCCCATTGTTATTTTAATTTGCAGTTCCTTACCGGTCAGATGTTGAACATCGTTTTATATGCTTATTTGCCATCTGGATATCTTTTTGGTGAGGTGTCCAGGTCTTTTGCCAGTTTTTAAAATTGGGTTGTTTGTTTTCTTATTGTCGAGTTTTATAAATTCTTTGTGTATTTTGGATAACAGTCCTTTTTCAGATGTGTGTGTCTTTTGTTAATATTTTCTCCCATTCTGTGTCTTCTCATTCTCTTGATTGAAATCTGTTAGTCTCCATGGGATTCTATTTCTTTGCCAATTTGTGATCTACTGTTTTAAATTACTGTGTCTTGCTTTATCCTTTGCAAGGCTAGATGTCTTGCATAGCCATCAGTTTTCAGCTACTCGTTTATCCTCTTTGTCACAGCTGGTCCATCCTGCTCTCAGCTTCCATGGTTCTTCATCGTTTCACTCTTCAAATTCCAATTCTTCATCTGGATAATCTTCATGTAGATTTTCTCAAGTGATGATGCTGGTCATACTTGATCTGCGGGTCCCTTTGGCTCTGGTACCACCTCTACATCAGGGTTGCCTTTGCTGGTGCAAAGATTAATCATGTTACAACACACAGTTCCCACTTTTATTTCAAATTTTCTGTATTGTTATGTTAATAATTTGTAAAATAAAGGTTAAATCTTTTTTCACTTTGTGTATTTTGCTCTATATGCCAACTTAATCTTCTTTTGAAAAGCCTGTCTTGGTCTTCATAAAGATTGAATTTTCACCTCATTTCTACCATTTTGTTGTATATGTTTGAAAAAATATGCATTCACTTTTCATGTATCAGAGTATGAAGATATTTTTCTGGGGCAGTTTTATAGGAATAGTTTTTTGCTCATAAAGTGATCTGAGTAATTAAGAGATAGTTGCAGCAAGTGTGCCTAAGGGTATTTATCTTTCATCTTTTAGTCCTGTCCGTGTGTGTAATCTTTCAAAAATAAATATAACAAAACTAACAGTTTATAGCAGCTTATTTTCTGCTAAGTAAAATTCACTGTGACTGATTTGTCAGCATAATTTTTTGAAGTATAATGCAAATAAAGCAATTTTATCATTTATGACACATTGTGCTAGTTGATCGCATTTTAATTTTGTTGAAAGGCAGGTATCTTATACTTGTTGCTATGTTTTAGTGTATAAATCATTGATTTTAGAAAATATGCCTCATTCTATAACTTTTAAAATTTACTTGGTAAATTTTTCATTTATCCAACAAATATACCAAGCATATTCTTGCGTTCCAAAATCAGGGTGACTTTAATACCATTAACATATAACTTGATTTTATAACAAAGGGGGTATATAGAAGTTCACTTAAGTCCTTACAAATAATTAATTCCTAGATATTATGGTGTTTGGAATATATAATTTAATTTTTGTTATGTAGTACGGTTTCTCTAGTATTGTCATGATTTTGATTTAATTGCTACTCAAAGTTTAGTGGTTCAGTGAAAGAATATGAAGGCTGAAGAATTTTGTAAATAGGTACATTTTCAACTTGCTGTGTTTTTGTTTTTAGCTTTAACTACCTTTGGAACTTGCATATGATGAGTGGTAGACTTAATGAGTTGAAATAATTGGTATATTACCACTTTGCGTGAAAGTGTTTGTTTAACACAGTACTGTCAACTAACTGACATGGATGTTTATCACTTTTGATGTAGTCAGCATATTTATGGAGTAATCTCTGGGTGATATATTTGAAGTCAAGGAGCTGAGTCTGTGAACTAAAGATTATATAATAAAATTCTGAATTATGTGGTATAAGCTAGTGGTTTTCATACTGTATGCTTAGTAGAATAGATTTATTGTCCCATCACTAAAATCTCTCACTGACTTCTTTTTCTCTATAAATAAGAAAATATATAGTTTTCTCAACTTCAGCTTACTCTCCCGTGGGTTGAGAGTAATGTGTTATGTGTTTGTTTGTTTTTTTAATCTTTGGCACTTCGAACTACTTTATTCTAGTTCTAATACACAGTGACATTTTATTTCCATGTATTTATAATTTGGGTTTACAGGTGTCTGTATATCTCAACACACATATTAAATAATTTGTTTCTCAGAGAACACCATGACTTCAGATTCTCCCCAACCTGAAAACGTTGAACCACTACTGCAGATTATCTATGGTAAAGAATGTTTAGAGATAGAGGATGTCTCTTTAAGCCGGAGTTATTGAGAGTTGAGCTAGACCATGGAGGATTGGTTGGATTTGAATAACTGCATAGGTTGGCAGTATAGTCCCAAAGTGTTGTAGGAACTTGGAGGACAGAGACACTATACTTTTTCATGACAAAGCTAGAACCAGAGTCTAGATTCTATTTCCTAGTCAAATAATCTTTCAGTTGGACTGGTAGCATAGCAGGAAGAACTAGTGGTCAGTAACCTCATATTGGAGAAGGTGTCAGTAGGCTTGTGGACTGTGAAATTCCTGAATTCTTATCAGGATTGCATTAGGAAGGCATTTCAGACTGAAAGGAACTTTATGTGCAAAGGCAGATATCCTGAAAGAGCTTACCTTGTTGGACGTGGATCATGGTATTGGAGGGTGGGGATGAAATAAAGGGTCTTTTATATGCCAGGCACTATTCTAGATGTGGAAGGTACACATGGAAAAGACAGACTCCCTGCTACTGTGGAGCTTACATTTTAGTAGGAGAAATAATAAACATAAATATGTAATATACTAGTAATTAGTGATGAGTACTTGAGGAAAAATAAAATGTAGGGTAAAGGAATAGAGATAGACGTTATTGAAATGTGTCAGGGAAGACCTTTTTGTGGAGGTGAAACTTGTGCAGAAAAAAAGGCAGAGAGTGAGGTATGTGAACCAGCGCAGAGGAGATGGCAGAGCACATTTGCTGTGTGCAGCTCCATGGTAACTGTAGTGCATTAAGTTAATGGTTTATGCTCACTGAGTGTTTACTGAGTGCCAGACACTGTTCTACCTGTATTAATAGCGGTAATTCAATCCTTAAAACAATCCTATAAAATGGATACTATTTCAGATTTGAGGAAACTGAAGCACAGAGATTAAATACTTTACCCAAGGTTGCACAGCTAGTCGGCGAGCTGGGATTCAAGCCCAGGTAGTTTGACTCCAAAATCAGTGTTTTCGACCATTCTTCAGCGATGGGGGAGGGGGAGCGTAGTAGGAAATTTAATTGGAGCAATAACCTGGGGCCAGTTCTGTGGGGCCTTTGTGGTTCCTTTATAAAGTATTTAGGATTTTATGCTGACAGTGAGGTTAAGTCATTGGCGGGTTGAGAAATGCCCAAGAGGTTGCTTTATGATTCTGGAGGTCAAGAGATGGGTCTGGACTATACAAAACACATTTGTTAGTTATCTGTATATAGGTTGTATTATAGCTTAAAATATTTCTACTGGTCTGTAACATGTTTCTTTGATCTAAAATCGAAGATTCCACTTCATTATTTTGTTGAATAGATATATGTGCATGTATACATATGAGTGTGCGCGTGCTTGTGTATAAAGAAACTAATGAACTTTTCTGTTAATAGGTGCGAGAAGATGTACTAAATTCATTGAATAACAACTTTCTTCAAACACTAAATCAAGCTTGGAACGATCATCAGACAGCTATGGTGATGATTAGAGACATACTAATGTATATGGTAAGTAGAGCTTTGTTGTTTTTCCTTTAAGTTAAGCATTTCAAAACACTGTCTTTTTTCTGTCACATTTGTTTGGATTGGTACAACTCAGTGTGGAAAGCTTTTTTTCTTTTCTTTTTTTTTTAAATACTATTTCCTTCATAAGGGCCAACCTTAGCTTATATGAGTAAAATCTTAGTTGCTCCTATACTTAATGATTAGAATGGAAAACTGAAAGGGAAAGATTTAATATTTTTCTAAATATCTAGCACTTATGCTTCAATATGTGAAATACTGAAAAGTCTGTCTCTTCTTGAGTAAGGGTGGTTGAGTGACATGAGAGATGATATATTCATTCTCTTGCAAGTTTTTAAACCCTAATGTCCTTATATCTTCAGTTACAGGGGATGTCATATTAATACAGATATTTTTGTAATAGCTGTCATCTACCACTCCTAATAATAAATCTCTCCCAGTCTTACAAGGACTGTAAGTCCTTGCAGTATATATATAAATTCTTCAGATATGTATTGCCTTTTTCACCTAGTATTACTGTTTTATTATCATTCAAGAAAAATATCTTGTTCATCAAAACAATTTGGAAAACATGGACCTGAGGTAGGCTGTTTAATAGCTTTCAAGGAGATTAAACTCTCAGGTTTTTTTAACTTTAGAATGATTATTAAGGTTCATCAAGCTTAATTATTGTGTCTGCAAAATCATCAAGCCCAATAACTTCATTGTTTATGTTTGAGAATTTGGACGTAATGATTTGCTTCTAAGATTTTACTCTCTGCTTTTCGAATTTTTATTTTCAGTTTCTTTAGTTTTGATTATTAGTTGTAATGGTGAGAGTGTGTCCTGGTTTCTTTTACTTGGTAGAATAAAGCAGTGATTGGAAAGAATTTCCAATGAGAGCAAACAGCTGTAAAGTTTTTTGTTCTGCTGAGTGAATTCAATCAGGCCTATTACCCCAGGTTTTATAGGCTTAGTGGCAAGAGGGTCAAGGAGAAGCTGCTTCATTTTTCAGGGTTTTGATAAAACTTTTAACAAATTATTTAGCCTTTCTGAGCCTCATTTTCCTCTTCAGGGTATAGATTCATTTTATGTTGACATTTTGAGGTAAATGTGATAGCATGTGAAAACGTATAATGTCTGGGATTTGAATGTGAAATAAGTTAACTTACTGCTGTCCTCTTTAAGTTTTGGATTTGGTGAGTCTTTAAATTCCAACACAAACACTGAGATAGAAAATTACCTGTGATTTCATGGTCCATCACTCTCTTGATAAAAGGAGTATTTTAAAATTATTTTTATACTTTTTATACCATGCTATTTTTTAAATTTCTGTTTTATTTCAGCACACACACATACCACTTTTTTTGTTGGTTGGGGGGCGAATGAAATCTCAGACCTTGAATCCTGGCTGTTACGTGACCATAGTCAAGGAACTAATTATCATTCCTCAGCTTCCTCATTTATAAAATGAAAATAATATTGTGCTAATTGGGTAGAGTGGCCATGAGGCTTAAAGGAGCCTTTCATATGAAGCACCTGTATGGCCTGGACTATAGTAATGTGCTCAGTAAAAATTAACTAGTATTAATATTTCCCATCATCTTTTCATCAAACCCAGCTGGTAGTACCACAACCCTAGATAAACCCAGCAACTTGCCTTTCCTGGGCTTCTGCTGGTAGAAACCCCACTTGGGAAACCTCACACAGGGTAGCTCAGTGCCACTATTTGTCCATTTTCACAAACCTCTAGTCAGCCCTCCACACTGCTCAGTCGTCTCACTCTTTCTCTATTCAGCTCATTCCACCACTTTGAAAGAGTTATTTCTCTTCAAACCTCCAGCTATCCTGCTGGTCCCCTTACTCTTAATAACAGTCTTGCCCTCTGCCTCTCAAAGAGAAGGAGAAAGCATCAGGTGGAAGCTGGGTTCATCTCTTGCCTCTGAATCTACAGGTTTCCCTATATTTTCTCCCCTTTTGTGTTTCTCTTTTTCCCTCCCATTTTAATGGAGGGCAGTGTTTCCTCACCTATCAAATTCCATTTCTTCATTTGTGCTAAGAATCTCATTTCTTTCTGCTTTGTCAAAAAACAGAATTATTTTCAGGTTCTGCCTTTTTACTGGTCTTACTCATCAGCATTAGACACATTCAGGTAACTGGCATCCTCAAAATAAAATCCCACTACATTTTTGGTTGGACCCCTGCACTGCTTCCCAGGGTCTCTCATTGCCATGCACAGCTAAGTGTCTCATAGGAAATGTTGACACTTGCTATCTCTTTTTTCTCATCTTTATTCATTTTGAATATGTTTTAGTCACGCTTCTATCTCAACTCTTCTATTCATTCTCGCTCTTACTAGGATCACCGTGCCTGCGCATCTCTGACAGCAAAACTCACTGCTAATCCTCATGCTCCTTGACTTTTCCAGCAGCATTGGCACAGTTGACTACCGTTTCATCTTCTAACACGTTGGGTTCTTAATTTCTGTGACCAAACACTCCCTTGGTATGCCTCCTACCTTTCTGTTCCTTCTCAGTCACTCTTCCTTCTCCTCTGCCCTTTGAAAGAGAGGCATTCTTGGGGCTTAGTCCTAGGCTTCCTTCTCCTGGTACCTGTTATTTGCTTACCTTAGCTCTCTGTTGTGGCTCTGTGCAGTTGATTCCCACATTATGTCTCCAGTCTCATTCTCTGAGCTTCAGACTCGTAAATTCATTTACCTAGTTGGTGGCTCCCTTCATTGTCTGAGAGGTACTTCAAACTTGGCGTTTCCAAATGAGCTCATAATCAGTGTCATTCCATCTGATCGTGACAGAAACCTGGGAATTATTCTTGTTAGTTTCTTCTCCCTCTCTCCCTACATCATGTATTTCTAGAACCTGAAATTTCTCTGTTTTCATATCTACTACCTAAGACCAAAGCACCTTCATTTCTTAGTAACTAGTCATATAACATTCACTGTGCTCCCCTCTATTCTCTTTTTCATATTGCTCTAGAATTATTACTTTAAAGCACATGATTATGTTACTGCCCTGCTGAAGTCCTTCTCTCTCATCTCAGAATTTTCACACGTCTTCTGTCTGGATATGTTTCTGGAATATTTCCTCCCTTTATGTGATTTTTTTCCTACTTATCCTTTAAGTCTTAGCTTAAATTTCTGGTAAGCTTTCCCTGACTCATGCTGTGTACTGCACACTGGCACCAGCTGCTCTCACTGTACTCGGTACTACTCCTTTTGTAGCATTTATCATTATTAACAACTGTTTAGGGCCTCTTTTTCTCACTAGACTGAACTTTATTGGGGAGGGATGTCTGTGTCACCACTGTGTCTCCAACACCTAGCACAACTCCCTGCACAAACAAGGCACTCACATACATCTTTGAATTAATATACACATTTTTTTTTAATATATCATGCTTTTTTCAAAATGCTTATTAAAATATGCAATTATAGATTCAGAAAGAAATTTAAGTGTTGATAAGGTATCTTCATGTTCTATAAGATAGACTTCTTTCATCATTCTCTTTATTTTTCCTTTTTATGTGTAGTATTCTGGGCTTAGTTAAATAAGTGCTTTTAAAAATTAAGGTAAAATTTATATACATTGAAATGTGCAAAACTGAGGTATATAAAGTTATTTTTGACACACGTATGCTCCTTTGTAACCAGTCCTTCAGTCAAGATAAATAAATGCTTTTAATTTTCCAAAGATCAAAAAAATTTTTCCTGTTGACATCTACGTTATTTTCTGTGAAGATTTTTACCCTCAATCAGACTTATCAGATCACTTTACCTGCTAGATAAGACATACACCTGAAGTGTGCAGGTTTCTAGACAGATTTCTCTTTACTATGAATTCTGGCTCTAACTGTTGGAACTTTAGATCTCAGGCTCAGAGGGAGGAGAGAAGATGCTACACTGTCTTCCCACCTCCCTCCTACTCAGCTAGCTGACTTTTTCTCTAACAAGGAGGTGTCTATCTAAAATGCCCTGCGTGAGCCTCAGTGTATATAGATAGCATGGGACACACTGACTCTTGAAAGTGGAAATGGAATCAATCACAGGTTACGTGGAGGCAGCCGTTGGTCACAATTTGTCCCCACTCACTTTGTTGTTGGCAGGTTCAGCGTTCCAGAAAGAAAAGTGTACATGTCTCTGGATGGAACATGTGATCTATACCCCTTTCTAACATTTGAGACTTGCATTATGTATTTTGCCCCTGAAGGCGCTGGAGTTTGTAATCTCTGCTTTGTTTGTTTCTTATTTTTAATTCATTCTTTTCTTTAAGAAAAGTTAACATGTTAAACTTTTAAGATTGGTTTGAGCCTACTTAGTATAAGTTTCCTTTTCAATTTTTTAATTGTTTAAAAGATTAATGATTAGG